AAAAAAAAAAAAAAAAAAAAAAAAAAAAAGAAAAAAACTCCTACCTGTTATGCCCAAGTTTTGCAAAGCGATGTCGGATAGTCGAGGTGGAACTCCTTTTCCCGCATCACGCCGACTGTAGTTGTATTTATAATCGCCAATTATGGGACACGCAATGCCAATGCCGAGATGAGCACGCACTTGCTCATGGATATCTGCATTTAATTGGTGACACATGATAACATCGTTTTTTCAAACACGATTTGGCTATGAAAATAACATTTTCAGTTCTTCCATTCATTCGAGCTATCTCCGAATACTTTGGTCCCTTACAAAGGGAAAGTGTTGTGCGAGGAAAGGGAGGACACAGTGGCGGCCTTTTCTATAGCAACAGATAAAAGCCCCACCGGTAAAAGAAACACCCTATACGTAAAATTATACACTCTACTCTGTCCATTTGACCCTCCAGAGAACAAAAGTTCAGCTAGAACGGATTCCGAGAAGAGTCTGCATGTTGCGAAAATCCCATCCACCGTTGCATCGATAAAGGGTGCCCGATTTTCGGATGCATTCAAAGCAGATAATCATACAGTTCAAAAGAGTACTGTCAAAAACGGCCCGATGGTGTCGGATTTGATAACAACGAAGTTTAATAACAAAATCGGTAAATTCAAAAAGAAAAGACACGAATCAATAAATAGCAAGGCGCACCAGACTAGCAGTGCGATCATGCGTTTTGTGCAATTTCGCCCATCAAACAATTGCTTACTAATGATTTTCATTGCTTTGTACCTTAGTTTATGCAGAAATAGTTCAGACATTGGGAAATAGTTAAAAATTTCACGCACCAGCGCATGAAAGCTGAATTTGGAACCGTGAAGGGTAAATATCTTTCCGTGATTCTCGAGTTAATAGTTTACCCGCCAAAATTTTCACGAGGTCGTAGGTGATACTCAAGAGCGTGGGGACGCTGAATTTGATTAGGCAAGGTTGAGCGTGGGCAGGGGTCATTACTCCAAAAATTCAGCCTCCTAGATTCCGTGGTTCCCGAGATATTAATTTACCCGTAAAAAACTTTCACGAGGCCGTACATGTTATCCGCGGGTGCAGGGAAGCTGGATTTAAATTTGTGGGGTCACAGGTGGGTGGGAAACGTTCCCCAAAATTTTCAGATTCCTAGCGCTTGTGGTTCCCGAGTTGAAAGTTGCGGACAAGTTTCTGCGGAAACACACACACACACACATACACACAAACACACATAGACAACCCCGTGACAATATGCGTTTTGTACTGGTGTTACACAGCACAAAACGCATAAAAAAGGAAATGGTAATCTAAGTAGCGATATTCCGGCTTCGCCGGTGTAAACGTTCATTTTTTGTACAGTTTCTTCCGTAGATGTTTATCGTTAATACTGCTTTTTTCTAACAAGTACTTCTAGTTAGGCGAACTGAGATTAGCGGCCACGCTGTTGCAATTATCACAGGGACTCCCAAAAAATACGACTGCGGGCCATGCGCAGAAAACTTCAGCACTATATTTGTTTTGATTGCAGAGTTACGTCAAATTTCACACAATCGTACGCAAAAGGGACCGTAGGTGTTTATTGAAGTGTATCTGCTCAAATTCGGTTGTAGACTACGTTCGCAAAATTTAAGCACTCTAGTTGGTTACGGAGGTACGTCAAATTCACGTGGCAGAGTGCGAAACGTAAGTGAGACGCAAAAGGGATGGGGAAGCCGTTTTTACGTGCACCTGCCCAAATACGGTAATTGATCACGCTCAGATTGCAGCTCTTACCAGCTTAATAAGCAGTCGAAATCTCGTGCTGGTAAGGTGTTTTAAAAAAATGAA